AGAATGGTTAGAGATCATATTATATCAAAATAGCTTATTTTATTCAGCTTTTAATTCTCTATCTTCCTATGTATACTGTGAAAATTTTCAACAATCTGTTGGAACGTAAGCTGGTACATCTTTTATAGGATATTTTTTCTTTTTTTTCCCCAAAAGGTGCGATAGTGCTAAAAGTCGGTATTGACTAACTTTTCATAGAAAAGGTATTAGAAGCTAAAATTTTAGGGTTAGTAGTTTTAGATATTGAAGTTTTGAATGAGCAAAAAAAATCGAAAAAAAAATTTTATCAAGTGCCTCGTATATTGGAGCGATGCTCGATCAGCTCATGGAAACTCTCTTAATTTCTATATTTGATTTAAATTAATATAATAGTAAAAGATTTATTGATGTATAACATTATACTAAAACAAAAGATTTCATCTTATATATGAATAAATATCAAATTTTCAGTAAGATTACTACGAAAAACTGAAAATAGACTACAACAATTTCTGCTTTATATATTCTATTATGTTTTATGTGTAAGTTATCTAGTAAAAATTTCTCAACACTTTCCTATATATTTGCTTAGATACGACTTATCTTAATATGAGTATTTTATAAGAAACATTATTTGATGGGGATATTCAATATATAAGCGTTGAAAATAACTCATTTGACAATCTAAAATTATCTATGAGTCTTCATTCTATATACTTAATTTTGTTTTATTTTACAGAGTATGTTCGAATCCAGGATGTGACAAAACCCTTTTTTTCTAAATTCTTACTTCTAAAAAGGAGTTAAGCTCAATATCTTGAAAAATGACGCTTTAATTATAAAATCACTTTTTTATACAGTGTTTTCTCCGGAGGGGCGATTTGAATTTCCGAGGGGGCGAAAAATTAGTTTCGGGGAGGGGGGGCAAGCCATGTATTCGTAGCACGATTATCACAAGTCTCGGTCCCCCCCTCCGGGTACTTCCCTGGATAAAATACTGTTTTTATATAATATTAACAAAAATTACTTCAAAAAAGAGACTCTATCATACCCTATGTTTGGAAATACTCGTTTAAACTATACACAGAGAAAATATTTTCATAAGTGCCTAATAAAAAAATCGTGTCATTGATGAAAGATCAGGCTTCAAGTTATGTTTGTCCTGCATTTATCTTAATTTTCATTTTATTTTTTTTGAGATGAAAAGTTTGTTCGTCTAGAAAATTAGAATATGAAGATCTAAGAAAAAATTTTATGATAATATTCGAAATTAGCATATACCTTCCAATGAAAAGTGATTAATCAGTTAAAAATATTCTCTCATCAGAAGAAACTGATTTATTTCATTTTCTATAAAATAGTTATTGTTTCCAATAATTTTGTTCTATATGAAAATATATATGATACGACAAAACACTTCAAGCTCTCCAAAATGAATTTTTCGTTATTTATTTTTTCTTTTTGTTTTCATTCGATTTTCAGAAAATTTTCGTTTTTTTAATACATCTTCTCACAAAATATAATTTCTTCACAATTGCGAATCGTATAAGTAAGAAAAAAAAGAAATTACAAGTGATTATTTAATTTAAATATAACTAAAAAATTTTAATCGCATGAAAAATTTGTAATTTCTTCATATAATTTTCTTTAGTATTATTAGTCCGTCAAATTATGAAATTAAACGTAATTCATCCGAACGAAAAGATAGTATTAGCGATGATAGTCGAATAAATATAAATAGTAGTAACACAAGAAAAAAATCTGGTATTGATGGTCCAATAAAATTATCAACTTCGAAAAGTTAGTTAATTATTTTGACTTTTTTTTTTTCATATATGAAAATTTGAATATATAAAGGAGAAAAAAAAGAAACAATTATTTGGGGACCAACTGGTGTTGAACCATGGAGTGCATCAATGATAACTGGTATCGATTGGAAATCATTAACTATACCAGCATCACTTCCGATAACAGTTGATGTTGCACCATCAGCTGAAGAATTACAACGTGATTATACACATAATTCATATACTCTTATTCATGCTATACCACCACAAAATGAAATTGATAAAAAGAAAAAATCTATTCAAAATGGAAATATACATAATGAAAAAACAACAATGTAAGATTTATTTTTCTTTTTTTTTCAATAGATTATTTTAATTTAATATTTAGTTGTGATAATATGGAACGTCAAAGAATAACTTTTGATGAATTAATTGATCAACGATTATCACAAGTAATAAATTAAAATGAAACTAACTATTAAATATATATATTATTTTCATTTTATTAAATATCTAAGGGTTTTCAAATGATTGTTGAAATTCCTAATCATATTTGTCAAAATATGTTTGAATCAATACGACGCGCTGGTTATAAACAAACAGAATATAATCGTTTATTAAGTATTGGTAGAATTTATCATACATTAAGTCTTGTTATAGAAGAAAATCAATCTCAAGATACTGTTGTTATTTATGTTCAACAACATAAACCACAGTTAGTAGCAAAAAAAAACAATAACAATAGTCGATGATATTTCTTCGATTGATTGATTGAATATAAGATTTTCTTTGTTTTTTTTTTTCTTCAAGAAATGTTTTTCAACCAAAATCTGTTCATTATAAATATCGTTTTCAATGTCCAGATTCATCAGATTATGATCCAGCATGTTATGAATTACAACTTGAAAGTTTAGAATCATTTTCATGGAATTTAGTTGATAATGTTGTTGGAAATCATGGTACAGGTGATCATAAACTGTCAGATGTATGTATAAATATATATATATATTAAAAAACAAAAACAAAAAAAAATATTCAGATAAATAATTGCGTTGTCTAACTAATATTTGAACTTACTTCAATAAATAATTAATAGCTATCTTTCTCTTGAACTTATCCGTATGGGTGTGGGTATATCATTTGAAGTAACGATAACGGATAATTGAAAAGCAATTTGATAAAACGTTTATTCACTTGTCAGCTTCTTAAATTTAGAAGCATAAAGAACGTGAATGGATTATTATTTTTCACTATTTATAAGAAGTTAAAGTGTTGCTTTTGTTTTTGCAATAACTTTTACATTCCCATATTCATATTCACGATTTTCTTAATGGATATGAATCAGAAACCGAAACGAGTCAAGAAAATCTGGTATCGATCCGATTTAATTTCGGTCCAAAGTCAGTTCATCAAGATTTATTCGGGTTTAGGACACTTGCTCGTAAAAATGCTTCGAAGTAAATATTTGTATGAGATATACGAAAATATTCTTTAATCGTCCACGACATTTAAATTTTCTGGCATGTTCGCATTTTCAAAATATTTTCTTGTCGTTTCGTTTATCAATAATGTAAGAATATCCGTCGTAAATAAGTAACGGAGCGTTTTTCGATGTTGTTGAAAGAGTAACTGACATGGTTGTTTTCTTAATGCACTGTTCTACGACTGACACTGCTTTTTATATGATTGTGATGATTGAATACGACTATTCTTTATAAAGACCATGATCGTCAATGTGCTCAACAAACAGTCTATTAGTTGAGTCAATTTTGTTCTGAATTCTTTCATTGACAAATGAAGAGTCATTTCATTCGCGAGCAACTGTCCCGATCCCGATTTATTCATAGCACAGGTATATGTAATGAAGTGAAAGAGATTAATTGACTTGTCATAAATGAACTTTGTGTCATATCGAACAACCAAAGGATCAAAATAACTTTGGACAAAAAACTTCTCACAAATTTTCCATCCTTTGAATCCTTCAGGTCAAACACGACTTGACTCGGTTTCGGTCTCTGATTTGAATCTGTTGTTTTGTTTTTCTGATCATTTGTTAATCCTTCAAAGCCCAAGGAGATTTTTCTTGCAACACAAGGAAGACAACCATAATAATAGAGCGGATGAGCCCCCAGTACGCTCATACTAAAATCTGAAAGAAAGGAATTTTCATCTAAAATTTCACCCTTAATCAGATTATATGATCCTTAAATTTTCAGTCAAAACAGATGGTTTGTTGTTGAGATATTGGACGCAGAAAAAAATTCGGCAACATTTTGCAAAAAACTCATAAAATCCGGCTTCTTTTCAACATGCCGTATGTCCAAGAGTAAACAATAGTTATTGCTGAAAATTTCAGGATAATCTAAATAGCATATCAGCTATTTATGAGTAAAATTTCAAGTCAAAATCTTTTTTGTTTCGATTTTTTCTTGAGGCAAAATATCCCATAGAAGAAACATTTTCTTTATGATAGTGTCCTGCGTTATTAGAATAGTTTAAAATTTACGAGATGGTTTCATCAGATATCTTAACATTATGTTTAACAATATCACTTAAAAAAACCAACGTCTCACTTCGCTTATATGAATAAAAAAAACTTCAAAAAAGAAAAATGATGCTAAAAAAAATTCCGAGTCCTAAAAGATTCATTGTTCGGCTCTAGGAGTCACGTGAGAATTATATTTTCATCTTTCTATGTTTACTAAGATCATGTCAATTCAGAAAAATGTTGATTTTTGCATATAAGCTCTTGTAATGGAATTTATTGAAATTATTTTAATGTCCCTTGAAAGATACATTTGGCTTTTAAGGATTAAACTGCGATGATAGACTTAATTCATATAAACTGAAGGATTATAACAATTCTTTCATGCAATCAGAGAGAAGAACTTATTTATGGAAAATTTTTGTTAATGAAATTAATATTTTGTTTTATTCTTATTCTTAGTTAGTGAAATATTGGCATACACGTCTTGTTCTTATGCCGGCATCTAAAGATTATACTATAAAAAATATTGAATCTGGTCAAACAAAATGTGATAGTCGTGAAGAAATGTCCTATGAAGATTTTTTTCTTTATGTTGAACATTTTGTTCGTTTTTTATTTATGCTTAATAAACTTGTTCGATTACCTCTTGGAACAAATGAATTTATACGTCGAGTAAACATAATTCTTTCTTTTTTTAAATCTTTCAATATTTATTCAATCTTCTGTTTAGCCTCTTGATTCATTAACAGGTAAAAAACGAACTGATCAAGCAAAACGACAAGGAAAAAATTTGTAAAAAAATTTTTTTTTTTCTACAAATTTCATTTTGTTGTTCATCGTTTTTATTTTTATAGAATTCCAATTCAAATGTTTCAATTAGTTAATATAATATCTGGCGATATAAATTCAATAAATAATTTATTAAATTTATTTCAAAATGAACAACAAGGTTTATTATTTGTTAAAGATTCAGTTTTACCTGAGTATACATTTATTGGAGTTGAAGCTATTTGGTGGTCAATCGAACATGGTGATGATATAGAAAATGAACAAACAGCTATGAATTTATTTCAAGTAAGAAAAATTCAAAAAACAAAAAAAAAATTTTATACATGTTTTTATTTTTTTTGGTCTAATAGTTTTTATTTGCCAATGGATATATTCGACATTGTACAAATAAAGAAAATAGTTTTCGTTTTGGATTTTTTCTTTATTATATTGTAACAGAAAAAACAAAAAATTGTAAATATATTTATATTTCTTTTTTTTTTGCTTAATTTTTGTTTTTTTTTTTAGTTTGTCTTGAATCAAATGATTATGCTGAAGTTGAATTTCATCAAACACAAACATACATTCCATCAATGGATTATTTAGGTTTTGGTGAATGTCAACCAATGCGTTTATTACCTAAATTAATTGATAATCCAAATAAAAAATCTGAAAAACAACGATCTACATCAAATAATCGTAATTTATCTTCTCTTTCAAATACAAATAATAGTAAAATTCAAATACAATCAATTGTTCTTAAACGTGATTGTAATGTTGATGTTGATCCAAAACATATATCAGATAGACGTGAATGGGCAACAGCTCATTATCATTCATATTATAATCCACATTGTTTATTTGAACTTGAAATTCGTTGGCTTGTTGCAACATCATGTATACTTGGAGATTTAATTACACAATGGTCACTACGTACAGGAACAATACTTGGATCAAATCAAGTTGCATTTCATCTTATACCAATTCCATGTGATCCATTTGCTGAATTCGATGCACTTAGAGGTAAAATAACAAAGTAACACAGTATGAGATTTGAAATTTAAAAAAAAACGAAAAACATAGAATAGAAAATGAAATTAAATGTTCTCAAATGTTATTTGATACGATAGATTTCGATTAATCATAAATTATGATTCTAATGATTAAGTAGAAATTTCAATTTAGAAATTTATTTAACACCAAGATACAGTCAAAGACAAAAGTTTAAACGAAAATGTATTTTTGATTTTTTCTATAATAACAAGCATCTAACTGAAATCCAAATAATGATTCGGATAGCCAATGAAGAGCTCTATCAAATGCATCCTATACCAAAATTTCATAGATGATTTAAGGTAGCAAGGTTTCTAGAAAACCCAAAACCGTATTTTCCCGATCGCAGAAGACTTTGCAACAATTCGTTTCTAACAGTACCAACTTAAAGAACACAAAATTCTGTAGAAAATGAAGGGTCGCCGCCTTTCATTTCAAAATTGATAAGCATTACAAAAAACTGGAAAAAAAGTGAAATTTATCAAGAAACCGCTAAAAATCGTATTTTTTCGATTTTTGTAATGCTTATAAATTTTGAAAGGAAAGTCGTAGGAAAGGCGACGACCCTTCATTTTCTTCAGAATTTTGTGTTCTTTAAGTTAGTACTGTTAGAAACGAACTATTGCAAAGTCTTCTGAGACCTGAAAAATACGGTTTTGGGTTTTCTAGAAACCTTGCTACCTTAAATCATCTATGAAATTTTCGTATAAGATGCATTTGATAGAGCTCTTCATTGGCTATCTGAATCACTATTTGGATTTTAGTTAGATGCTTGTTATTATAGAAAAAATCAAAAATACATTTTTGTTTAAATTTTTGTCTTTGACTGAATTAATTTCATACATTTCTACTTGTCCTACCACATTCTATCAACAAAAATAAAACATTCTAAATTATGTGTATTGGAGATATTCAGTCAGATTTTTTGTAAACATGCCAACACACTATTCCATGGCATAGTAACATGCACAAACAAATCGAAAATTAGTATTTTTAACTACGCTTTTGTATTTGTATTCATTGAGTTGGGTGTGTCAAACACATACATAGTATTCTATGTCATAATGACATATGTCTGAGTAATATAGGTTACTATTAATTCATAAAGTAGAATTAAAATCGATACATTAAGAAGTTGAGTTTTTTAAAACTATCGACTAGTTTGATATGATGCTTCGGGAACTGCTCGACTTTTTTTTTCAATGTACTGTTTTAACTCTTGTGAAAAAATGTAAATACAATCATTTCTCATTTATCAAATTCATTGGATAAAGTTATTCATTTTTATTTTAATTCATATTTGTTTTGCATAGAAAACATAAGAACGAATAAGCTAAATTCACTTTAAACATTTACGGCTTAATATCCTAGGAAAAGAAACTAAGATTAGTCTTAACTTCGTATATTAAAAAGAAAAAATTTCCGTCTCTTTATATTATCAATTCTTTGTTTTTATTTTTTTTTCTTAGGTCCTATTTATATTAAAATCAATATATCGTGTCTGCACGATAAACTTGCTGGTCTTCCCGAAAAATCTCAAGTTCATCGAATAAATATCTTTCAAGAACTTATCTTAAAACGGTTTGTTTAATTTTTGTCTTTTGCTTATGAGAAAATCATTTAAAAATTTTTGTGACAAATGATTATTTTTTTTCAAGATACAATGACATAACAAAAAAAAAAAAATTCTAAATAATTTTTTTATTTTTAGTTATGGTTTTATTTTAAATGCTTGTGTTAGTTATAATAATGAAAATATTTATTATGTTCATATAAGTGGGGGTATGTTGGTCTATATTATATCTGATGTTTATAATGTTCATTATAACAGTCAAACTCCACGTATTATATCAACTGGAATTACAGTTGATAATCAATTATCACCATTAGATTGTGGATTTTATTGGTGTTGGAATTTTTGTTTAGGAAAAAAATGGCGAAGTTCACAAACAGGTGAAGAAAAATATCAAGATATTATGTTAGCAGATTTTCGGGCATTTTGTGATAATGATAAAAATCGTTTGGTTAATTTTTGGAACGAAGCAAATAATATGGCAAATAAAAAAATGACTGAAAAAGAACAAGAATCATATAATGAGGATTAGTTGAAATACGGTCAAACATCTAGTCTTTTTCATATTTTTAAATATATATATATACAAATATATATTCTATATTTTATGACAGTGATTGTTATAGATTTGACGTTCGTGATAGACAAAAGGAAAAGAAAACGAGTAAAAGTTTAATTGTAGTTTATAAAATATATAAATAAAATAATCTTTAAAAAAAAATGTATTTTAAAATTGAAAATAATGTGTATTGTCAAAGTATGAATTTTTAATCGAATAAAAGTTTTCTTTCTATCGATTTGCATATATATATAAAGCAACAAAAAAGTTCTAATTCATAAATAATTATTGATGGATTATTGTGATTTTAATAGCAAGATAGAAATATACAATAACAATAAAAATTTTTGAAGAATATATTGTAAATGATTTATAAAAATCAAGAGAAACAATAAATATGATAGATGATTTTGAGTGATATAAAATCTCTTCTTATTTTAATATTTTTTCGATCTTATTGTAATTAATAACAACAGAAATATTGTTTTTTTTCTTTCTTCATCAATGTTTATCATTCACATTGTTGGCATTATCAATAAATTGATTTTGATCAAAAAATATAAGCTTAATTTGTATTGATGATAATTATCCTATGGACTTTTTAACTCATCACCATCAATACTTTAATCATTTCCGACTGCAACTATTTCTTCAATAAATCATTCGATCTTTCAAATGATCGATAATAAAAAATAATTTGATTGTCTTCAATAAATATAATCTATTGAGAGTTTAACTGATTCAGTCAAATTTTGATACTAGAAGAGTAGCTGAATGTATACAAAGAATAATAATAATAATATATACTTTGATTCATAAAAATAAATTGATTTATATTTAATGTCTATTTCAAAAATTAAAAGTTTGTTATGAATAATTCGTAAAATTTTCTAAATTTAATTATTTTAATGAGAAAATCGATTGTCTACATCTACAATATATCAAGAAATGATTCGTCTGTCATTGTTTTATATTCATTTCAAGAGATCTTGTCCAACTGAACTCTAGAAGACTGACATTTCGTCGAATTTCTACTATTGATTTTCATATTGAGCAAGAACTATCTTAATACATGATGCCAATGTCAATAGATTTCCTTTTCGTTCAGATAATCGTTTGAAACTTGATGATATCCAAGATTGACATATCTCTATTGATTTGTTTCTTAGTCGAAATCGATTGATAGATAACTTGTGAATCTTTTTCGAATTCAAATACTTAACAATGTGGAATGTTTGACGCAATTTCAAATTCTTGAGTATCGGTTTCTTATTCATTCGTGAGAAAGTCATAAATATGTTCATCATTTTATACAATAGATTATTTTCATTCGTTTCTGCCATCTCATGTTACGAAATTGAGTAAAGAAGTTTTTTGCATTCTGTCTTGACAACAACTCATACTGATGATTTCTTTAGTGTGGTGCAATATTAAAAAAAAAAAAAGTAAAAACGTTGGCAACATTTTCTTTCCTGTTGCAGGGAAGCATGTTAGAACATTTTTTTGGATATTCTATCTTCTAAGAACAAATATTGCTTCTCAGACAATTAAATCTTGATGATCATACAAGAAATCAACATGTTTGATATGTTCAAATTCAACAATCTCAAGATGTTCGTATTCTTGAACGACACTAATGAACACAATCGCTGAGTAATGATGGAAAAGAGAAAAGAAACAACTTTTCTTCTTTTTTTTTTCTCTCCTGTCAACAATCCACATGCACATTTGGTAGTTATGTCAATGAGAATAGTTGTTATTACAAAAAAGTGCATTGAACTATATATTAAATCTAATTTTTTTTTCAGACAATATGACCGAAGAATCGACTATGGACATTACTGATCGGTCAGCAAGTATTCCAAACATGGTTTCAGAACAGTCTGAAAGATCAGCGTATCAACATTTGATAGATCAACTGGAAACATTACAAACCTTGCCAACAACAACCGCCACATTGAAGAAAGAAATGTGGTCACAATTCTTAACTCTTTGGTGTGAAATTCTTGAGATTTCTCCATCTGATGCTCAATTATGTTACGAAAAATGTGCTTCTATTCTACCTCGTCTATTCAAAACGGCTAATTTTTATTTCATACGAAAAGATTTGAATATTGCTCGAAAGAGCCTGTTTGCATGTATTTCTCAACTCAATCATCCAAATATGAGATATTTTCTTCAATTAACAACTGAACAACAAAATTTACCTGAGAATAAGATTTATCATCAACATGTTTACTATCTTTTACTTATTTCTGCACAAACAATTTCATTTTTGCCATTTGCAACGATTGAAGATCAACAATTTATTGAAAATCATGCAGAACTTTATAGTCTTTTAATTGAACATATCGAACAAAGTATGCCCGAACATTGTCAAACAATCATAGAAAAAAATTATGACTTAGGTACCATTAATATACGTTATCTTAGTTTACTTTGGAATACAGCCGATCGAACTGTACTTGTTCCGATATTGTTGAAATATGATCTTGCTAGAAAAGTTATAGGTTGGCTTGCTCAATCAACTAAATTGACAGACTCTGGTCGTCGACCTCTAATTAGTATTGTTCATAATATTGCTCGACATGATGATGGAGCCGATGAGCTTAACAAATATGGAGCGATCGATAAAATCAAAGAATATA